TTTTTAAGGAATATACTTTCTTTCCATCTGAAGGAGAGGAGGAAAGCAGATCAACGTAGTTATGTGGCTGCCTAAGTACAGTAAATGTTCCAAAAGTAAGAAATGGCAATGGATCAGAAAATACTTTCAGTGCTTTCAGTGAAAAGAAAATACTGCAATTAACTGACCTTTTCTCCTTAGAAGTGTATTCTAAGATAGATAGCAGATAATGCAGTATGATTTTATGCTGTTCTATGGGAAATCAATGTTTGTTTAAAAGATAAAATAGACTAAAAGAGTTTTAAAAGATGAAGTAAAATCATTCTGTTCTGCTCTCTTTCAGTGCCAATTATAATCCCAGTGCCAACAAGGACATTATATCTGCCTTGGATTATCAGGGTCAAAAACGCAAACTCTATAGTGCTGTACCTGGAAGACTATTCATTGTCGTGAAGCCATATCAACCTCAAGGAGAAGGGGAAATACATTTGCACAAAGGGGACAGGGTAAAAGGTCAGTCTCTTTTCCTTTCAAAAGTTCTTGGATAGCCATATAATAATTTTTTATAAGTGAAGCAGGCAGCTGAACATAAAGGTCCAATCCCCTCATAATGTTATTCCAGTCATCTAATACCTATTGCTATTAAGTAAATGTGCAGGTATAAGACAATCAATGCTGTTCTTACTCCTCCGGTTTTCGAGGGATAGGCCTGATTGTAAGATAAGGTCTCCAAAATTGTTAGACTTAATTATTGATTTTGAGATTGATTTTTACTCTGATAGCGATCACTCCTCTCTTATTGCAAGATTATCTTATAATGCTCTTGTATCTAGAAGAATATATCTGTGCGTATGAAATAGTCTTGGACAGGGACTAGTAAGCGTGAGGAAGTTACTGCCCAATCTTTTAGTTTGCCTGTAGCCTCCCAGTTTAGGCAGTCTATTCGAACTGCAAAGGATGAGAGGGAAATACTATGCATTTTTCCACAAATGATCAGCATCATCCTAGAATTGTTAATGGATAAAACAAACTATATCAGAAGTAAATCCAAATCAAAGTCCTGGCTTGATCATGAATGCGTTGAAGCCAAGGTTAAATTAGTCAAAGCCTGTATGTCCTTCAGAAGTAATAATGTGCAGCACCTGCAGGAGACAGAACTGAACTAAAAGAAATAAACAAGGCCCTGATGGAAAAGGAAAAACACAAGGTGCAAACAGCAAATGGCAGGAAATTAGCTCAATCAGTTAAAGATAAAAACTCATCTTGTCACCTACTCTTTTCCAAAAACCGCTTCTGGAGCAAGGACTAATTTCATCAAGACCTGGGTTGAAAGCTTCTGGATTTTATCAAGTGACGCTAAATAAATAACAATAAATTATTCGAACCATCGAACCATAAAATCATAGAATGTAAGGGTTGGACAGGACCTAGGAGATCGTATAATCCAATCTTCTCCCCAGTGCAATAATCTACTATTACAGCCTCCCTGACAGCTGGCCTCCAGCAAATGAGAATCCCATGTCTCCCAGAGCAGTCTATTCCATTGTTGAACAGCTCTTATTGTAAGATTTTTTGTTGCTGTTCAACCAAAATCTGTTTCCTTGTAATTTAAACCTATTGTTTCTCATGCTGTCTTCTCTAGAACTCTGAATAATTTTGCTCTGCCTTCTGCCTGGCAGCCTTTCAGATGCTTGAAGACAGGTATCATGTCTCACCTCAGTCTTTGCTTCTTCAGGCTCACCGTGCCTGGAACCACTAAATTCCCTTGTACATTTTTCCTTCCAGACCGTCCTCATCTTGGTTGCTCTCCTCTGGACATACTCCAGTTTGTCAGTATGTTTTTTTTTAAATGCGGTGCCCAGGACAGGATACAAAATTCTAGGTGAAGTCTGATCAGTGCAGAATAGAGAGAAACAATGACAAAAGTGAAAGATGGAAAGTATCCCCACGGAATAAGTTAAAGATTTGAAATGTGTAAGAGTCACCTTTCAGTTATCTAAAGCATGGAATAAATGAACAAAATATAGTATTGCCATGTATTATACTACTTATTTGATGAATTTTATTCTGTGTAGCTTTTTATTTTTTTACACTTTTATTAGAATTTACTGTATATTGGGGTTTTGGATCTTTGATCATAAATAATGATAATTTACCCCTCCTGGACATAGAGTGGTTGGGCAATCTAAGGGAAAACCCATCTATATTTTCTTTAGGGTTATATGCACATTGGTATCCCTGGCTTGTTCCTCTCTTTAGTAAGTCAGAATCATAAGCCATAGCTTGATTTTGTTAGGAGACAAACAGACATTTCTATAGCAAGCCCCAGCGCATGCTTGCTTGTCCCTAATCAGAATTCTGAAAAGTTCTGCCTCAGTATTACATGCAAACTGGCTCACAGATTTTTTGTTCTGGTTTTAGTTCATAATCAGCTATGGTAAAAGTGCTGTTGAGGGAACATATTCCTGATGCCCTCCAGTTTCAGTTGAACAGAGTGCCTGAGGAGTAATAGTATTTTACAACAGACAGTTTGTGATATAAGGTTCATATTAGCAGTTTGATCTATTTCCAAGAATTTACAGCACAGAATTAGAAGATAAATGGTACATTTATTTATTTACTTTTTTATTTGTTTATGTATTTTTCAAAGTAATACAGCTCCTCGTGGTTGTTAATATTGGAATTAAGGAATAAGTTGATAAGTTGCTGCTGATAAATTGAAAAGACTAGCCCACAAATAGGCCATCATTCTCCACTTTCATGAAAATTTTATTAATTTTATGTAAATTAAGTATGAAAATTCAAGAGCTGTCCTTGATGCTGAATCAACTTATCCATTTAGATAGGTTTCTTTTAACTAAATCTGTTCTTGAGAAGAGAACAACCTCAAATTATTAAGGGTGGAAGGGGGACTGTTGGCAAAGGAGAAGCTAAAGTCAAGGTGGCACAAAGAATAGCATTATTGAGTGAACTCTTATGGTACAAACTTGAGTAATGGTCAGCTTGCCCCTCTATCTGCTACTGTAGTTATCAGAGTTTAACTTAGTAATTACAGTAGCAGATAGAGGGACAGGACCTATATTAATAAAAATTATCTGATTGAAGCTGCTTGCTAATAGATGGATTAAGTAATGTGTTCTGGTCAAATATAGGAAATCCCTAAATCTGTAATGGACCGTTTGTTGAACAGAGTACAGCAATGCTCCCAGAAAAACTTTGCCCAGGGAAAAAATACACACCAGCATGATAGGT